TGCCCCGCCATATGGGTCACCTCCTGGACAGGTGGGGATCGAACTCATGCGGAAGTGGCTTTAGCTTCTTAGTGCTGTGCTTTAACCCACTGCGCCACCAGGGAGCACCCTGAAATGAATTTATTTTTAACCACCAAATTTTTTTCCTTCTTAGAAATAACTAATTCAGTTGTTGGGACATTTTATTTGCATTCCCCAAAGTTACCTGGGCTCACCTAAAACTCTCCTTGTTACCTGAAAGACTTACTCCCGAGCCTCATGAGATTGCTGTGGGAGACCATAGCTTCATTGGCCAGAAATTAAGTGCTGAAAGAGACTCGCCTTTGGTGTTAGAGGACAATAGAAGTGACCGCTTGGTTTACATTCCAAACCATATGGTAATGCTGCAAGAATTAATGATTAAATATGAAAAAGTTCAAGATTCTTAAGAAATTGCAAGTCTCACGTCTGGTAAGGAAATGAAAAGTTATGATGACAATTTTTAATAACTGGGTCTGCATCTTTTCATACAAATAGAGAATCAAATAAGTTAAGGCTGGTATATAATGCAACGTTTTCCAGGAAGCCACAACTGCTGTTGTAATTGAAATTGCAGATGTTAATGGTGATAGGCCCCGCCAAAAGGTCACTGATAGATTTCACAACTTAGAAGGTTAATGTGATGTAGAAGGAGGCAATACAAAGAATCGCAGAGCAAAGGAAGGATTAAGTGCTCTTAAAAGTTGTCCTGGCCAGTGTCCCAGAGTTTGTTAGATAAAGCCTAAACTCCCAGAATGATAAGGCTTAAACTCCCCCATGACTCTTCTGTAGATATCAATGGCAAAGCAATAGTAACTTTATCAGGATTTAATAATTTCAAATAAATAACAAAATATTCTGTTTGCATTTTCATAAAAAGGCTGGCATTCTAAACAGACTATTCAGTCATTGCCTCTATGCTTTAAGAATCTGCCAAATGTGCATTTGGCCAGAGCGCCACCACCATGTCAGAAGTATCATGTGTGTAGTTAGAATATGCAAACTGAAAAGAAAAGGGGTCCAATTTCATGCCAACTCTGTATAAGAATGAATACATTGATAGCTTCCTTGGAAAAATTAATTTCTTAGCTCAAACACTTGCATCACCGTATTAGCTCCCTATTTCTAAAATAGAAATTTTTTTTGAACTTCATCTTTAGAACAGTCAAGTTTTCCCTTATGGGATTTTGAATTAAGAATTTAAAATTCAGGCCATCCTTAGCTGCAAAATAAGACTTAAAAAGAAGGTACTGGCCCTCCCTGGTGGCGCAGCGGGTTAAAGCACTGCACTAAGAAGCTTAAGCCACTTCCGCATGGGTTCGATCCCCGCCTGCCCTGGAGGAGATCCACATGGCGAGGCAGACCTCTCCTGACCTGCCCGCTGCTCCCCTCAGCAGTGTACTTCCTCGATCTCTCTGTTCTGCTCCCCGCTGTCCCTGGTGAATCCTCTCACCCTCCGCATCTCTGGACTGTACCCCAGTTCTGTATGAATAAATAAATAAATCTAAAAAAAAAAGAAGGTACTATGGGAAAACTGGATGTGATACCAAAGCATCAAGGCATTCAGGTGTGTACTTTTTAGTTAAAACGATTTTTTCGTTGTCATATAGATGTAACTTAAAGAAAAGCCTAAATGGTTCTTTTTAATGGGTGTCGTTAACTTGGGGTATTCATTTGAATGATGTGGGAATTATAGCAGCCCTCAAGGCACAGGAATTTATTTGGGTTTGGTTTTATTAAACGAAAAAGAAAAAGAGAAATTGTTTGGCAGTGTTAAAATACCAAATTGTTACTTGTGATAGTTTTGTTTGAAGTAAATATATTGAATTTATAAGTGTCTACCTCTTTGGGAAAGACAAATAGACTAGACATTTAAGAAAGGTGGGGGAAAAAACTTATTTTTGCTGTCACCATTAGTGACTATTATTCAATAATAATAGAAAGACTTTTCATTGGGTTTTTCAGCTATCTGGGAATCAAAATACTCATAGGCAGTGTAAGGTCCAGTTTGGCTGAAGAAATAATTGTGTATGACTGTAGTGGGGAAAAAATGTAAATGGTCAGTAACTCCCACCCCACCCAGTTCCTCCACCAGCGCCTGAGGTGTGCTGTGGGCCTGTGGAGGATTGCATCAGGGTTTGATAGCTTGGAAACAGTGATAGTCTCAGACCTAAGGGTAATATATATTTTATCTTCTTTAAAATAAATCTCACTCTCAGATTATAACTGTAGTCTAGGGACCTCAGGCTGGTCTTTTTTTTTTCTTTTTTTTGATCATTAGCCAGTTGCCAAAACCCACTGAGAACATCCTATATAAATGTTCTGTTCTTATGGAGAGTTAACTTGTGGTTTGGATACTTTGTCCAGTCACTGAGAGATGAGCTTTGATAAGTTCCAGATGTATTGTACACATAAAAGGTTGATAATGTCATAAGCACCTCCATATGCTATACTTATTACTCATTTATAATGTGCTTCTTCCAGCCGATGGCTGATCTTTCTGCCCTTGAACTGAATTGTGGGGATGTCAAGAATCTTAACTATTTAAGCAATGTATTGGGCTCCCAGAGCCCTGTGGGTCATGACTGAGTCATATGTCCGTTCTCTCACCAGAAACACAGGCACCCTTGCCCCACCTACATGGCTACCTTCTTCCTCCCACCTGCTCTAATTTTCAAGTTCATCTTTTCCATCACCTTCTCTGGCCCTCTCCACTCCTCACATCAGCTCAAGGACAAGCTGCACCAGAATCACCTGAAGTTGCTCATCAGCACACATTCCAATCCCTCCTCGAAAATACTGCTTAATACTTAGGGGTGCAAACAGTGAGAAAAAAACCTATGAACTTTAAACCACCCTTGGTAATTGTTGTTATGTTCTCAAATTTGAGGCCCACTGTCATCGTGGTTCTCAAAATGTGGTGCCTCAACCAGCTGCATCAGCACATGCTGAAGACTCATTGGGAATGCAGAGTCTCACTGCTCACTGGGTACCATCCAGGCCTACGGAGTCAGGGGCTTTTGGTGGGGAGGGCTCAGGAATCTGAGGGATAGCAGGCAGCACAGGTGATGCTGATAGAGGCTGGGGCTTAAGCAGCTTCGTGTGTTGTCTCTCCCAGTGGGCAAGACAGATTCACTCTGTGTCCCCGATGGACTGAAGGCAGCTGGGTGTCTGGTATCACAGAAGAGAAGGGAGAATTGCTGCACTCTAAGGGCCCCAGCTGAACTGGTTATTATGTTATTTTACTCATTCAAGATCACTGACTATCCCTCCATTCAGGTGGCGTCAGCATCCATCTCGCAAAAACACTTTTAAGTTTGAAATATATTTAGATTATCTAGGTGTGCTACCGTGCATTTTGATCATAACAGCTGTAATATTTAAAATCCCAGAAAATTTAGTCTCTCGAAGGCATTGCCTGTGGACAAAACCAGTGTGAAGTGAGAGCTCAGGATATGTGGATTATTTGAATTTAGTTGTGCATAGAGGTTGCTTCTGTCTGTCTAATGCAATGATTTCTTGCCCTTAGTAAAGAAGTGTTCTAAAGAGCTGGTGACAGGGTTTTCATGTGGACTCCGTTTTAGTGGAATAAAGCTTAAAGGAGGTACTTAAAGTAGGAATTGGGTGATGGTGGGGTAATGGTGGTGGAAGAGGGGGTTGGCAGTGATAATACTGAATCTGCTCCTGGTGGTAGTGAAGACAATGAGGATGATGGTGTTCGTGGTTGCAGATGATGGTGGTGGTGATGTCACTGATGGTGGAGGTGGAGGTAGATGGGTGGGGCGGGTGGCTGTGCCTGCTGGTGCTGGACGTGGCAGTGGGAACCTCGCTGAGGACTTGCCATATATAAAAATTGCTGATTAGCATTTGCATAGATTGTCTCATGATTATTCAGCCAGGTAGCAAATATGTATTTGGCTCCCGCTCTGAGTTAAGCCCTGAGTTAGTCTCTTTTAAGGCTTAGAAAGGTTTAAAAAAATAAAAATGGAGACCAAAGCCCTCTCTTCGAGAATAATATATTCGATGTGTATTTTTTAAAAACTGCCTAATACAAGCCAGAAAATACTCGGGTCAATGAAAAGTGTAGATGAAAGTTTTAGGGGCCAGTATAGTTATTCCATATTTGCTATTCTTAAAGTGTTGCGTGTGTTCTCTGGTTTGATGATTGAACAGTGGATGCATGAGTAGCAGTAGTTACAGCAGAAGCCACTGTTAATTTAGCACACTTTTGCAAAGAACCTCAAACAAAGTCACATAACTTGTAAGTGGCAGTCAGAATTCGACCCTGTGGTTGTCTGCACAAAATCACTGACTTTTAAGTAAGGGGCCGTATTGCCTAACAGCAGCATTGTCTGCATTTGCAAATGCAAAAAGGTACCCAGCTGCCAGGTTTGAGAATACGTTAAGGCATGGCATCATGTGGGAGAGTTATTCTAAAATAATTTTGGTAGTGCCATTTTATTTTTAGATTTAATTTCATTTTAAAAAACTCTCTTTATAAACTCACCCAGAGGTCATAAAACCAGTGTAAGTTGGTTGTATAAACTCATTCAAGGACCAGAGAATAGAACAACTCCATTAAAACACCAGAGCCAGAGCAGGTGCTGTGGGCAGTAACGCCCCAAGGCACGCATCACTTTACTCAGCATGCTTGCTGCCACCTCTCTGCAGACTGCTGTTTCAAACTGTTAACTAGACAGCAAGAGACAATGAGTCTTGTAGACCAAGAGTCATCTAGAAAAATCTAGGCCAGGAAGGACATACATTCTAATCCCTGAGGACAAGAACGCAACCCGTTAAAGGGAGTCACTCCTGCTTGTTCAGGCAAGTGGGGTAAAGAGGACTTTGGTCAACAAAGCAAGAGAACTGTAAATGTGTCTAGATTTGCCTTTGGCATAAATTGATGGCACGCGGCGGGCCACACACTTGTGCCTGCCTCTCACTATCCAGCTTAAAGCTTGAGTAGCGACCGCGCCAGGCAGGAGGGGAGGTCGGCTAGGTTGGCAGTGATAAATGGAGAGCTATGTAAATTATCAGGAATTCCTCTGCACTTAGGCCCTCATAAACACAACAGTGAGGCCTGTGTGCACATGTGTGTAAATTATGTTCTGCTAATACAAGCTGGCTTTGAATTTTTTCTTACAGAAAGTCTGGTTTGTAGCATAAAGCATCATGGGCAGAATTTTCAGATGTCTAAGTATTTATGGAAATACTTAGGACATGCTACACACTCTGTAAATTGTTTTTAATTCTTTCAGAAATAATAAAGTTGACACTTGTTATTACCATGTTTTCAGTATTAACCGAGGCTTGGTAGAGACCCAGGGTCCCATTGCTGACAAACTGCAGAGGCACAGACACTGGTGGTTCTGCTTACAACTAAGCTCTGCAGTGCTAGAGGAGAAAAAACACTAAAAAATCATACATCTGTCTTCCTTGGGGAGCAAACTCTCTCGTGACATTAGTCAAAAGTGATTGAGCAAGGATCTGGTTCTTCCAGTCAAGTACCACAACCTCGAGGGAGCCCTTGCCATGCCCCTTAGTGTCTCTTCCCCATCCCAGTGTCTGATGAGCAGCTCTTCTGAAGGACTTAACACAGAGCTGGCTGCACATCCTGCCTTTCCCACATATAAACTGTGACTTCTTTGCCAAGTCACTTGCTCTCTGCAAGCCTCCGCTTGCTTCTCTGTAAAATGGGAAAGATGATTATTCCATCCCCTAGCACTGCATGCATGATTAAAGTAGAAAAGATTTGTGTAGGGCTGAGAAAGCCAGAAACAAGCTGAATATTCAATTCAATGCTCAGGAAGTGGAAGGGTACAGAAGAACACCTTGCCCACCTCTTAGGAAATCTTACAATCAATGTTAACTCGAAGACTATCTGCTACAGTTCAAGCAGAGAGAATTTACACACAGAAAATAACCCCAGCTGTACATGTCATGTCCAGGGAGAAAACACAGCTAATGCTGGCCCCTGGACAAGGCACAGACAGACCACAGGATAACTCACACACACCCTGAGGCTTTGCACACACATCTTGAAAGGCAGATGTTTACCTCCCTGTAAACTTTGCCCCCGTCCAAATAACTCACCTCATGTGGCATCTCATTCTCCCTCAATTTTCTCCCTACCCTTGCTTGTCATTGACGTTCCTGGAGCTCACTTGGAGTTATGGCTTAAATCTTGGCCAACGTTAGGCTGATCTCTGGGGGTGCTTCCCTGGAAATCTAGCCCCATTCCTCATTCCTTCCAAACCTTCCATAATAAATGAATCAGTGCTCCTGCTGTCATTCTGAGGAAATTCTTCCAGAGTTGAAGATGGGAATTTGGCTTGGTTGATACTTCCAGAAAATACACAGCATTGCTATGAGCTATGGACATGTTTTAGCTGCACTCCTGCCAGATTTTCTTGAAGGAAGATATTTTTGAAGGCCCAATTTCCCTAAATAAAATAGATTTAGATTCAAAGAGAATAATCATACCTTGTGTTCAATTAAAATTTTAGTTTTCCTGGCATATTCACCTATGTTTAGCTTCTTCGATTCTCATGTCTATCCTGTAAGCAGGTAGATTTTTACAGATTTTCTAGGAGAAAAAGATTGAGATTTTGCTCACTTGTAAAGAGAAAACTACAAAGAGGAATAAAATTTTTGGTATGGTCATGAGTAAAAAAATATTTCATTAACATGGTAAGCCAACACTTTCTCCTCTACTAGGACACCTATAGAGTATTTTTTCCAGTATTTTAATAAAGTGTGTTGATTACATCTCTTTAAGCTCTGTAATCGGAAAACAGACTATAGTAGCAGAGCAGATAATGATTAGTGAGTTCTAGGAAGGCAAACTGCAAAATGAGGAAAATGCCCATTTAATTAATTCTCACATTTCCTAATAGATTATAGCCACGAACTCTTGAAAGTTTTTGATAATGATACTTTAGAGATAAAGTGCATTGCACAGTCTCCATCACAAAGAAGACTGTAAAAGATGTGTTGTCTGCACTTTATGCTACATCATCATCAAGGCCTTTGCCAGAAAAGTGTTTCTTAGTCCTCATCTGTGAGTGTCTACTGTGTGCCAAGTTCCTATTCCAAATTAACTTTGTTTCTGATTTGAATTCTTAGGAGCCATAGGCAGACCTCTTATAGAGCCCCCTCCCAAATAGCTGGGAGTAGCTAGGCAGGTAAGTTCAGAGTGTCGTCCCTTAGTGAGTCTTTGACAGGACAGCCCCAGGCTCTGTCCATACGTTGTAATTTTAGAGATGGGTGTGGGAGTCAACCAAAGAGCCCATGGTGTCAATCAAGTCCTAGCCTATACTGGAAATCCAGAGTGGGACAGAATGAATGCTGAATGGTTGCCTGCATGTTTACTAGGGAATCAGAGGGATGCAGCTTTTTTGGCACTTACAAAGCTCCAGGGCTCATGTCATTCTCAGAACTACTGGAACTTAGGATTTATATTTAGTAGCAGACTTCACTTGCAAAAAAAAAAAAAAAAAAAGTCACCTTCTCCCAACCCCTAGATAAATAGAGCAGAAAATTTGAAAAGCTAATGGCGTCTTCTAGAGCTTCCTTTAACTTTTGGAGGGAGAGAAACAGATGATAGAAGGGATTAGAGTTGCCATTGAATTATATCACAAACCCTGTGATGTGCAAAGCATAGGAATTTGGTACTCGGTTGCTTCTATATCTTGTTGGCTTTGTCAACGAGTTATTTTCAGTGTCAGCAGGTGCCTCCTTTGCTGGCTCACTTAAAAAATTAATTTGCTCTTGATAACACCTTCAGCCACAGGGAGAAAAAATGAACTGCCTTTGGGTGATAGTCAGAATGTAGTAGGGTAAAATTTAGACTGATGACCGCGTGCTGTCTCCAGGTGCCATCTACAAATATCCCCCTGGGTCCCAGATCTGAGACCCAAGTTTGTCAACATCAACCTCTCCCACCCCAGAGAGTGTTGGCACTATACTGTGAGTTTACGCATTCACAGTTGAGTAATAATACAACTGGAAACCAGCTTTCAGAATAAATAGCTTTTCATGTTTTCAGGTTGGGTGGGGGGCTGCGGGGGGTCACCTGGTTTGTGAGGACAGCCCAGGTTTGATGTTAGCAGTAAAGTGTAACCCATGCTAGATAGAACCGTGTTTCCAATTCTGTTCCTTTTACAGCAGGAAGAGGCCACTGTAGTGTTGGCTACTACCCAAACAGAGAATGGATATTATCAAAGGTATTATGTGAACATTTTTGAGCAGGAGAAAAACATAAAAAAGCAAAAGCACTTTTGTTGTTTAGAAAACAGACTCCATATAAAAGTCGGCAGGAAGGATTCACTTCAATTTGATTTTGCAAAGCCCAATCCTAAGTACTCAATAAAAATTGAGTGATGAAAATAACATCAGGTAGTTCTAAATCACTGACACAAATGTGTGATCCCATTTTGGAGTATTAGAAGATTGCTATGGAGTCCAATTTCATCCACAAATTGTTCTTGGACTCTTCCAGTCCCATCCATACCATTGATTCCTGTTATATGACTTGGCTGTATTTACAATTAATTTTGCAAGGGATGTGGTGAACATATTTTTCATCTCTTTTCTCTATCACCTCAGCCTTATTCCAGGGGTATATGAAGTAGAGAGAGGAACAGTGAGCTGTTGATGAATTTGGCTCCCAGGAATAGCATTTCTTTGCATTAGGGAATAATCAGATTAATACCTCTGGGACCACTGATTTGATCCAGAAGTTACACTTGCTCTTTTCAGCTAGGCAACCAAGATGAAGAAATTCACAAAATAAAGAGTGATATAATATATATATATATATATATATATATATATATATATATATATATACACACACACATATATATAAAACACACACACACACATATATTTAAATTTAAAAATAAAGAAATGTCAGCAGCTGGGCTGGGTGACATCAGTCAGCCCTGCTCCTTGCAGTCAGTCTGGATCTCTTCAGAAAATGTCAGGTTGGCTTTTTTCTTGGAATCAGGGAAGATTCCAAGCTTTCTTGGAAAGCTGGAATGACTTTAGAAATCACAGTCACACTGCATCATTTTACAGAGAAGGAAGTGGGCACAGCAGCCATCTGACGTGCCTTATCAAAGAACAATCTCAGCACCTGCCCGGGTGCTGTTTTGTCACAGTGATTCAGACTCTTGAACTCAAGTACCTCTTAAAGGTAGCTCATGGAAACGAAATAATAAAACCTCTTTGGGTTGTTAAAAGACTGGAAATACACTCGAAGCTCAAAATGCACATGGTGCCCGGCACACAGTCACCCAGGGATCCCTGTGTGAATTACCCAGCTCTGCTGATATATTTGACAATTAAAAGTGAAAATCCAGTGTGTAGAAGGATCAGCCCTTATATTGCTTTGTTTGCCCCAAGCAAGTGAACTTCTCTTTATACCTGCCCATTTTTCAGGATATCTTCATTTTCTCCATCTTCTTAATGTACAAATTTTCTGTTTGCTCATTATAATATGTATTTACAAAACTTTACTATAGATTTTCTGAATGTGTGTTCTTTTTTCCATTATGCAACCCAGGGCTTGTTTCTTGGTCTTTACTTTTCAGTGTTAATGCATCCCAAGGAAGACATCATCACATAGACCCTCAATAATGCACTGTGATTGGAATTTCAAATCCGACTCTCTTTAAGGCAGAGGTCTCGATTGGTTTTTCAGACAAGATTAGTTCTGCCAGTGATACTCACAGGGACACGTGGGCTAAGTTGCAGCTCTAGAATGCTGAAGAAAAAGTAGGTAGAAAAGATAATTTTTATCAAAAAATATTGTAGCTAAATATACCAAGATTAACTGTTTTCCAGTCATGTTAGTTTCTCAAGCTAAATGTGCCTCTGAGTGGGCAAGTAACTGGCATAATTAATAGCTATTGGATAAGTCTGGCAAAGCATTTTGGGTATATTTTCCTAAAAATAAGAAAATGTCATCTAGTGACTTAGTAGATTCTTTCATAAAACCTTTTGAAAGATTATTGGTGGTGTTTGATATATAAGTCAGAAAAGATTCACAGAAGCATTTGATAGTGCTATTTAAGTTTTCTTCAAAACCCTTCTATCGAAATAATATTTAACAATGCCATTTAAAAATAAGAAGTAGTAGGGCCCTCCCTGGTAGCGCAGCGGGTTAAAATACAGCACAAAGAAGCTAAAGCACTTCCGCCTGAGTTCAATCCCCACCCCAGAGGTGACCCCCATGGCGCGGCAGACCTCTCCTGACCTGCCTGCTGCTCCCCTCGGCAGTGTACTTCGTCAGTTGGCCTGTTCTGCTTCCCATTCTGTCTCTGGTGAATCCTCTCATCTCCCCTATACCTCTAGCCTGCACCCCAGTTCTGTATGCATAAATAAATAAATCTTTAAAAAAAGTAATAATAAAACTAATATTAATCTTTACCTTACTTATTAATAGAAAGTATTAATATATTAATATTAATGCTATTTTTACTAAGAAGTAAAAATAAGGGGGAAAAGGGACCCATCTTATTAAGAAATATATTGCCAATAAAATGTTTTTTTGTTTTGATAAAATTCCAAAATTTAGAGTTACCTTTTTTTGTAACTTCTAATGGTAATCCATCTAAAAAATATTTTCACACAGACATTTATAGATACTTAAGTATATGTTTCTTTACTTTAGAGACATATATTAGGTGAACAATAAAAGAATTTAATGCATCTATGTACCTTACAGTTAGGATGAAATTCTAATGGGTAAGTGGACTGGAAAGACATGAATTCTACAAAGCATCTGACTTTCAACTTCGAAATGTTTACAAATATTTTAAAGGGAAAAATGGCAATGTCAAATCACTATGATAGAGCCCAGTGGGTAAATTAAAAGGGATGTGGGAGTTTTAGTTCTCAGTGTTGGTTTTTACTCAGTGTCACAAATGACCTCCTTTCCGAGGGTCACATGCAGACGGGCATCTGTGCGATCCTGTCTAGAGCCGTGGCCCCCCAGTGAGGAATTGTGAGCCCGCGATTTCCCGAGATGGCCTCACTCACAGGAGAGCCAGGCAGGGAAGGGAGGAAGCAAGAGGGAAGGAGTGAAGACAGGCAGGGGTGGCATTTCGGGCCGAGTGGCAGCTTCAGCCTGTGCCTTCTGGGTACTCAAGTCTGTGATTCCCGCTGCGGAGTCGTCCTACCCTAAGCGAGCAAGCGGGCTTTCTTAGGCCTAAGGAGAATCTTGCTTGATCAAGGTTGCCTGGGGACAGCTGTCGATTTCCGCCTGCTCCTGCTACATAGGGTTCCAGTCCCCCGACTGGGCAGCAGCCCCCTGAACAGTAATAGCTGCAGATGCTGAAAGCAGAAGTTCACACGGGGGTTAGAGGCAGAGCACAGGGAGGGAAGGAATGCTGTCTAAAAACGAATGTTTAATGAAAGGAAGGTTCTGGGCAGAGTTCTGATGTTGTCTCTATGCCAGTGAAATCAGCCACTAAATGTGCTAAGTGTGGATTTGAGCTCTGACCCAGGAAGAAGACTGTCTGTCAGTCTACTTTTGTTTTGATCACCTATATCTATCATCACCACCTTGAGCTGGGCTTGGTCTGTCGAAAGTGACCAAAAAAAAAAAAAAAAAGACAAAGTGTATTTATTTCACACGTGGCATATAATGAAGCAGACTCTAGAGGGAATACTTCAGACAAATGAGTGACATTAAGAGCAGCATGTCCTTTTTGCTTTGTTTTGCAGATGATGAGGACATGTGATGACCACAGCATGCAAGATGGTAGCTCGGAGGGCTCAGGCAGCTGTGCACGCTTCTAACCAGTGAACTGCTGGAGGGCAAGGGGCAAGGGGCAAGGGGCAAGGGGCAAGGGCTTTTTGTGGAGATAATAACAGCTTGCTAAGTTTACTCTCTGTGTGAAATCTGAGGCTTTTTCGAGTGAAACATTGAACATCCTACCTCCTGAGAATGTAGGAATGATTTCATTACTCCTGAGAACTGGGACATCTGACCTCAAATTACTAGCTGAACCTTCTTTGACAGATCTGTACAGTTCCAGCATCGATTCTGATGATGCATCTGCCTAGATAAAAATTGTGTCGTCTTTTTCATCTCATGAGGGAAAGGCAGTAAGAATTAGAATCTCCTACGCATGTTTTCTGTCCATGCACAGAATGAGACACCATGCACCTGCCAGCCGTTCTGATAGGACCCATGTGTTGCACCCAGCTCTGAGTCCTTGCCACCATCCTGCTCTTTACCAGGACATAGATGAAAAAATGAAGTTGGTGAGAAAGAAAAACAAAATGATAAGTCTCGTTTTCTGAAGTGCTGTTTGATGCTGTGATTATGCTACATTTTAGTATACCTTGCTTTTGTTTATGCTGGGGGAAAAAATACAGAAAAGCTTGAAGACTCTGCATGACCAGAATTCATCTTGGGAATTACAGTGTTGCAAGAGACAAGTTTTAAAATAAAGGCAAGTCTGACCTGGAAGCTCCTGCTGTTCCTTTTTTTTTTTAAATGTAGCCGAATTCAAACCCACTAGTACTCTAGTAGAGCACTAATCATATTTGGAAAATTTACATAAAATATAAAATATGCCAATAGTGAATTCATTCTGAGTCATTCAGCTTGTTTAAGGCATTAATTACCAACTCAATAAGGATGCTCTGTATGTATCTGTGTAAATGGGATACTATTACAGGCAATTTTGTATTTTTTCCACTTAATTTTCCTAGCGTTATTCATATTAATTGAGTAATGATGAAATAATCTTAATCAATTGTAGCCTGTCAAAAATTTTAGCCATTTACTCTGCTTTGGGAAGTTCTAAAGCAAACTACTCTTTTTTTTTTTTAAAGATTTATTCATTTATTCATACAGAACTGGGGTACAGGCCAGAGATGCAGAGGGTGAGAGGATTCACCAGAGACAGAGTGGGGATCAGAACAGGCAGATGGACAAAGTACACTGCTGAGGGGAGTAGCGGGCGGGTCAGGAGAGGTCTGCCGCGCCATGTGTGTCACCTCTGGGGCAGGCAGGGATCGAACTCATGCAGATGTGGCTTAAGCTTCTTAGTTCTGTGCTTTAACCTGCTGCGTCACAGTTTCTTTTATTTTTCCCCTAAGAATCATGTCTGTGTGTGCGCAGATGTATACATGATGAATATAAAAGATCCTAAAGTCGGAAATTAGAATGGGTCATCCAAAGACAAGCCAGAAGCACTCACATTTTGCTGATGGGAGTGCAGATCATTCCACCTTCAAGTTGTATTTTAGCACTCCTTAAGTGATAACCTAAAACACAGAAACCCCACTGCTAGATCTCTGTAACTGTAGAAACTCTCACTCATGTACACAGGGACCAAATGCAAATGTTGACCACAGTGTTATGTGTTTTGGTGAAGACTTGAGGTCAGCCAAAATGTCCTCAATGCAGTATATTCAGACAGGACAGCCACTAAATTGGTAAATAAGACCTGTGTCTATAAACATGGGCAGATCTGAAAGATTATATTGAACCAAACAGAGTTGTAGGATTCGTTAACACATCGCTTTGTAATATGTACAAGGTACAAGTTCTTAAACCTGAGATGCAATGCTATGTATTGCTGATGGGTACCCTGACTGCAGTAAAGACACCCATGGGGAGGATGAGCCCTAAGTTCAAGACAGAGGTTACATTTCAATGAGGTGGGGCAAAGCAAGGTTTAAATTGTCATAAGGCTTTATTGATAATAGAAAAATGGGCATTCTTTATGTTAATTTCCATATATTTTGGGATGCC